ACTTATTCGAAGATATAGAGTTGATTTCGAGAGAAACAATACTTTGTGTTTGATTACAGGTTATTTCTTGTATTAAATCTTCTATAATTTGATTGTCAGATTCAGATATTTTAATAGAGATAGTATCAGAATTGTCAAGTATATAATTTTGATTGTAACATTTTGTTATGGTTTTTACATCACATGATTGAGATATTATCTTTTCAGATTTTATTTGATTAACTAAAAATAAGTCTTGTTTTCGAAGCTTTTTTCCTATATACTCTGAATTATCTTTTCACTAACCTTTTTTTTATACTTTAAATTCAGAAATTTATCAATTTTCTTATCTTCTAATAATGTGAGTTCAGCTTTTAGCTGGCTTAGGTTGATACTAATACTATATTTTTTATCAAAAAGATCTTTGATAGGCAGTGAATTGGAGGATGTCTCTCTAGTGCTTCTTTGGGCTTTAAAGATTACTAGTAATTCTAAACAAGCTAAAAACTATAAAATATCTTCAATAAGAGATGTATCCTGTTTATTAGTATTAACTTAGGTTTGTAGTTTAATTTCTTAATGTTATATTTTAATTTCGCTACTTCAGCTTTAAGTTTAGTATTTTAGCTAGTATTGGCAGGTGAAACTTAGAGGTTTCGCCTTTTGTCTGTAGTAAAACCTAGTTTTAACTTTCAGCAAAAAAAAATTAAAATGGCAAAATGACAAAGGTGGCGAAACTGGTAAAACTGGTAAAATTGTAGTGAAAATAAAAAAGACAAAATTAATAAAAACAGTAAGAATAAAAAGATAAATAAAGATAATTAATATTTTCTTATATAATAAATATTTTTATTTCTATATATATATATAATATTATATATTATTTATATTATATTTAGAGTATTGCTATTTTCACCTCCATTTTTGCTAATGCCATCTCCAAAATTTAAAAGGTGTTCCGGAGGAGGTATTGCTATTAAGAAAACCACCTTTTGGTCTTAATAAAAGTTGTTCATCAGGCCTTTCCAGTTCTAATGATAGTAAAATCATTACAATTGAACTAGTAGTTTTTTTTTAAAAGTGAATGAAAGTTAGCTAACTTTGGATATAAATATCTTAAAAACTACTGGTCCGAGTATAATAATTTTACTATCATTAGAACCAGAAAGGCCTGATGAACAACTTTTATTAAGATCAAAAGAAGGTTTACTTAATAAGAAGATCTATTCTGGAGCACTGTTTGATATCTGGGGGTGGCATTAACAAAAATGGGGGTGGAAATAGTCATTCTCTATATTTATTATAATGATATATAGATTTTTTATAATAAAAATTTTTAATAATTAGTAATTTTATTATGAATTAGATATAATATAAATAATTTTTATATCAGACCTAAGACTATAACCTGGATAAAAATTTTGGTAATATGAAATAAACCCAGGTATATTATAGAAACAATGATTAGAAGACCCGGTATGATATTAAAACATAATATATTATATAAAGTCAATACATTTTTGACTTCTCCACATAAAAGCCTTACCCGATTATCAGACCAATATCTATACAACAGACCCCAGGTCTAAAAAGGTTTTAAAATTGGTGGAATACACTTGACCGGGTCTTGTATATACACTTTTACAGTAATTATACTGTTATATATGATGCTTTTTAATCAATAATCTAAATTTTACTATATTTTATATATTATAAATTAATAACAACTATTATTTTCTTAAAGTTTGCCTTAATATTTAAAGCTAGATAAAATAAAGCATCTGCCAGTAATAATAGTATTAATAAACTACTTACATGTGTACAGTATTTAATTAAAGTTTTTAGCATTTACTTTGAAGTTCCAAAAGCCAGAAATCTAATTTTCTTTAATAGTATTGAATACAAAAAAAAGTTATCACTTTGTTTATTGCTTTTGTATATTTTTAAATAAGCCGTATGCTGTGCTTAATAGCCACATGCAAAATATTTGATTTACTAATATGGCACAGTCTTTTCTAAAGGTTTAAGTCAAAATCCCAACAAGTGAAATCCTGACAGGTCATAATCCTGACAAAAAATTCTAACAGCAAAAATTCGACAGTTAAAAATCCCGATATTTAAAAATTCTAAAGTTAATTAAATTATAAGAGGTTACTTAGCTTTAAACATACCTCATATTCGGGATTTTCTACTTGAAAATTTTGATTGTCAGGATTGTCAGAATTATAACTATTGGGATTTTTTGTCAGGATTATGACCTGTCGGAATTGTGCTTGTCGAGATTTGACCAGCACCCTTTTCTAAAGTCTTAGAGGACTTGATTTTTGCTGAATTTTGACTTTCCCAGGGTTTCAATTTACCAGAGGTTTCGCAGTTTCGCCAGAGTTTTGCCGTTTCACCAGAGTTTCACCGTTTCATCAGAATTTTGCCAGGTTTTGTCTTTTGTTGGTTTAGTTTTATCTTTCGCTATTTGCCAAAAATAGTTTCACCTGCCAACACTATTTTCAGCTTTACGCTTAAAATTTTAGTCTCAAGATCTGAATTTTCTTTTATGGTCTGCCTAAGCTTCGCATTTTTAGCCTCAAGTTTAGCAATGCAGGTTTTCAACAAATCTAATTCGGAATGCATGTTTGATAATATTTTTATAAGATATATATTTGTTCAAATCTTATTTAATAAAAATCACTTTTACCAAGAAATATTTTTATCTCAAAGAGGTGCACCTTTGGTGCTAAAAATTCTCGACAATATGCGAATTAATATACATCGATATCAATACAATAAAATAAATTCACGAAATTTATATATACAAAAGTAAACGCGATTATTTATGCAAATTCAGCTACCAGGACCAGCTTTATTAATATTTAAAATAAAAATAATTTACAGGAATAGAATCATTCTTTTTTCAATTCTTTGCTTTTTTTCTTGTTTAATCTTCCAGTATCATATGAAAAGCTTCTTTTACTAACCTTTCTGGATCTTGTCTGAAAACTGTTGACAAGACAATACAAGTTCACAATAACTCCATTCTAAATAATGAATTAAAATTTTTGAGTGATTCGGTCAAATGCAACCTTATGAAAAAAATACTTACCTGTAAAGTTAATAAAGCATAAACAAATTCTTCAATTTCATTAACTGACTTCATGCTTAAAGGTACTTTTGCTTTAGCGATTGGAAGATAATATTTAATCCCTTCTTCTCATATAAGTCTGTGGATTACAAGACATTCACCTGCAATATTGACTCCCAATCCTATATAATTTTTATACAAAATATCCTTTTTACACTTTTTTGAGATCTCTTCATATCCATCAAGACAAAGCTGTACTAATTTATTATAATCATCTTGTATTTTTTTATCACTAGCATTCCACTTGCCACTTTCAAAATAGACAAGTTCCTCCCATCTTTGTCTATGATATGATCGTATCATGAGATCTGGTTTGTCACCTCTAGATCCTTCATTATTTTGAGCTTTGCGATTTTTACTCACGATACTTTGTTGCTCAGCTCTCGTTACATCAATCTCACATTCTGCAGGTAGGTTGTATATGGTAGCATCTATCAAATGGGATATAATTTCCATGAAAAAATTTTCAGAACCTCTAGAAATTTTACGAAGTGCGTTAAATCTTATCTCCTGTAAAAGAACATCAGTAACAATCTTCGCTATACGTTCCCTTTCATGAACCTCCTCAACCCATTGATTATGTGTTGCTGTTTCCGTTGATGATAGTACAAACTTTTTCAACTTTTGGACTTCATTTCTTCTTGCAACAAAATCACTACAAATATTCTTTATTTCATTATCTTTACTTAACATTCTTATACACACTTTTTCTTTCTGTAAATAGTTTGTAAGATAATTAATCTCAACTGTAATCGATACTCGAAATTAATTCATACAGCCTAATACCGTTCCTACGTACCACGAGAGCAACATAGTCACTTTCCGAAAGTTGAAATTTATCTGAGCTTAGGTCAACAGTACCATTGCTTAATAGATCATCAGGTGTTAAATCATCAACATTTGTTTCAGATATTTTCTTGAAAATATGGTCATGAGCCGGAATATTTTCATTCTAGAATTTTAAAATATATATTAAATTATTGCTTTCTTTATCTTTCACTAATCATACTGTAACGTACTTTTATTGCTTCTCTTAAGATAGATATGT